GTCATTCTGAAACTATTTTGTCTTGTTATGTTAAATGATTTGTACAGTCATTCTGAGATTATTTTGTCTTGTTATGTTAAATGACTTGTACAGTCATATTGAAACTATTTTGTCTTGTTATGTTAGATGGTTTGTACAGTCATTCTGAGATTATTTTGTCTTGTTATGTTAAATGACTTGTACAGTCATGTTGAAACTATTTTGTCTTGTTATGTTAAATGATGTGTACAGTCATTCCGAGACTATTTTGTCTTGTTATGTTAGATGGTTTGTACAGTCATGTTGAAACTATTTATAGAACCAAATATTTTACAGCTTACATTTTTTGTACATTTGAGTTTAATACTTTTGTTCAAGTAGACTGTATATAAGATATGAGGCCCTTCTTTATATACCTAGTTCAAGGGTGCTGAACTTCACACACATGTAGCCAAGAGCAACATTCACCAACCAGCAAATCAACAGAAAAGTGTGTCTAGACTATAGCTGTTCGCATTTTAAGAGTGATAAACTAATCTCATTAACACTACAATAGCCGGGTAATTTGGTGCTTGGGATTTGCTTGATGTGATAAAAAATCTACTTACATTACATGAAAACGCTTTGAAAATAATTGCAATCAAGTTTGGCATTTTTTTCGTTATTAATAAGAACTCTGAAGTCTGTAAACAGATCAGAACAAAAAGTACCTTATAAATTAACGAAGCCAATTTTACATAACAAGCTGACTAAAGGTATTTAATGCTATAAATCAATGCACAAGAACACTAAAATCTATAATGATTAAAATGCATCGAATCATTAACTGGGTAGTCTCGTTGTTAACAATGCCACCGTTACCAATACCCGATAAAGTCCACAATCATCATTAAGTATTCTATAAAGATCCTACTTGTCCCGAGGATGACTTGTCATTTCTAACACCTTTCTTTGCATTGATGAAATAAACTTTTATTTATGAACATAGTAGTATGATTTGTACTATAATCGAGTTTTAATGAAAACAAAATACCTGTATATTAAAGTGCTCTGACTCCATGGTGTAAAATTAATCAATTTATTAGTTTGCTTCATCGATCACCAACACATGGAACAACGCCCCAACATACCAATTACATGAAACCGTTGTTAGAATAACGGAATTCCCTGCATACTAAGCGTGGTGTTTCTTTGATGCTCTACATGAATTACCTTACATCTTGTTAAGTATTATGGGCCCGGTTAAACGGACTCAACCTTTAGTAAATCAGTTTACTTTCCCTAGAGACGAGAAAATTACTGAAAAAGTTGTTTTTAATTTTACTTAGTTCAATAAAAAATTAAGTTCTAGTCAGTTCCCACTCCTTATCAGTTCCAACAATGGCTCTCAGTCATTGTTAAGGATAACTGGAACCGGTTCTGTTAATGGTTGACCAAACTGAATCTTAGATACCAGAATCACTTTTCGTGATCTCTTTAGTAAATCATGGCTCAGGTCGACCACTACCATAAATTACGATTATAATTCAATAATTTAGCATACTGTATGTCTCAGATTAGCCAAAAGATTGTTTGTTTAGTAAATCGCGTATTGAATTAACCAGAATCTGTCGTCGTAATGATTGAGTAGATCAGGTTTCAGATCGATCAGAACCAGTACTTAACACAATATTTTCATACTTCAGATCCGAGAACGACCAGAACCTGTCATCATAATGGTATGGTAGACAGTGCCTCAAATCGACCAGAACCATCAGTTATTTGCTTTAAACGTTCAGTGCTAAGACTGGTGAGAACCAGTCCTTGTAATGACGATCCGCTTATTTTAAGATCAAATTGTTGTTCAGAGCGTCTAGGCTCAGAGTCACCACAGTCCACAGCCACTGTAATTATTTTTCCCCTCGAATTATAATTGATATAGTAACATTAAATAATTTTCCATAGCTTAAGTTAGTCCTGTTAGTGTCCTAATTTTATTCTAGTTCATGGCCAGGTGGTTAGGGCGCTCGACTCGCAGTCTGCGGGTTCGAATCCCCGTCCCACCAAACAAGCTCTCGCTTTCAGCCGTGGGGGCGTTATAATGTGACGGTCAATCCCACTATTCGTTGGTAAAAGAGTAGCCAAAGAGTTGGCGGTGGGTGGTGATGACTAGCTGCCTTCCCTCTAGTCTTACACTGCTAAATTAGGGACGGCTAGCGCAGATAGCCCTCGTGTAGCTTTGCGCGAAATTCAATAAAGAAGAAAATAAAAACCAAGTTTTAAATTACATGAACATAGCAATAGCAAGAAACACTAATAGTTTCAACACCAAAATCTATCACAAGCCATGTAATGACAGCAACTATATAAAGTGGGACTCAGCCCACTCCATACAACAAAAAATCGGCACATTATCATGTATTTACAGCATAGCACTTAATATATGCAGTGACATAAATGTACAACAATAGAAACAAGAAACTAGAAACAATATCCGAGACATTTATAAACAAAAGTAAGTTCCCTAAACAAATTGTCACTAGAACCTTAGCTAAATGTAAAAACAAATTCAATAACACCAAAAAAGATACAGAAAACACTATAAACTCTAAAAATGGTGAAAATTACACTAACACTGACACATTAATAGGCATCTTACCATATCATGGTTATGTAACTAAAACCGTCATAAACATTTGGAAACAAGTATAAAAAAATACAACATTAATAATAAAGTCGTGTTTGTTCAAAAACCGAGCACAAAAAATCAAAGACCGTCTAAAGAAGGCCTATTTAGATAACTTCAATGACGGAAGCATCTACATGTATCAATGCAATAGATGCGACAGCTCTTACGTAGGTGAAACGGGACGTAACATAAATATTAGGATTAAAAAACATAACAATCCCCCATCACACATGTTATGAACACTGCATAACAAATCAACATCCAATCAATAACAACAATATTAAAATATTATGTAAAGAAAACAATATCAATAGAAGAAAAATTAAAGAATCGTTAATTATCCGCGATTTAAAACCTAATTTAAATAAAAATTTAGGTGTCTCTTTATATCTATTCTAAATTGGAACAAAATGATCGAGTAAATTACTAATACATAACACTATATCATAAGTTTACCTGATGATGACCACACAAGTGATCGAAACGTTGTAATTAATTTTCTAGTAATAAAATAATCCACTCAACAGCTGTCCTCAAAGTTTTATTAATTTCATTGTTGTACGTTGTTATGTTCTACACATTCTTGTACGTTGCTATGTTCTACACATCGTTGTAGCATCGGCTCTCTCTCCATAAAAAAAAACTTACCTGTTGTGAAGTCTATGAATGAGCTTGTCAACTTATGACAGTAAACATGTAGCAAGAAATTAGCACCACATTTAACATATTAATTAGAACTTAGATTTATAAATATTTTGTACGACTTTTAAATTGATCGACTATATGATTTCTCTATAAAACGCTTACGTTTTCTTCCCGTTTACTCGAAGATGCAGTTCAAATTGTGTCTGAAAAACAGCTATGTGTCAACAGTTGTTACTTCAAATAAATTCGTTGGAAGTAGTTCAGTCAAAGGTGTGTCTGAAAAAAAAGAGGTCATGATAACAATTATAATAATTTTGTAATGAATCAACGAAATGTTTCAATGTGTTTTGGTATTGCAGAAACATGTCTAATTGTGTGGGCGTTTAATTACATTTACATCTTTGTAGTACGCTGTATGCGACTAAACTTCAGAAAAATCAATTGTTATTACTAATCTTACTTGTTTTTCGTCTATGCATTTTTTACGCTGCCAAGGTAGTGTACGCTAAAAATGATGATGATACTAGGAACGCGGGCGTGGCGCGGGTTTTCCACCTGATAGAACTAGATATTAATGGATGCGTTTTATGCGTGTTGAACTTGGTACGAATTGACAGTTCGCTATCCAATAGTAACATCTGGTCTACCGACGTTTCTACGATTCCCTGTGGAGAAACAAAACTTGGCTGGTCAAGCGGTACAGAACATTTCCGACAGTTTCGCCCGGATCTCTGTCCATACCTGTTGTCATTTACTGCATTGTGTTCGGGCATATCATAAAACGCCCTCAGGTGTGTGGCAAAAGCGTCCAACGTACTTAAGACTCCCTCGTCTCTTCACTTCGTGTCTGTTGCAGCAGTCTCACTTGTACACTAGATGTCGCTACTCTACAATAGGCCGTAAAATCACCAATGACAGCTTTGCTGGCATAGTTAGATCCAGCGTTCAGCAAGGTCGTATTTTGCCTTCAGAAGCGTGTAACTACAGTTTGGTCAGACATCGGTTGCACGAAGCGCTACTTTAGATACAAGCTAGCAAGGTCTTCTGTACTATAGATAGCATCTAAGAGAAGCTAGGAAACAACCTGTATTTGAGTACTTTGTGACTTGCTGATCTCCGATAGTGATAAAAGCCTCCTTCTCAAATCCCTAGAACACTCTCTTCGAATTGCAGTGTAGCGTGCCACCAATGTTCAGCTTCTTTCAATTGTGCTAGAAGACCCTTAGAGGAGTTGCACAGTTCTTTTTTTTTCCGAGACTTTAGCCTACAATTAATCTTATCTGATATTTGGACCACGCAAACAGAGGGGGAAATTGGCGATATTTCCTAGTTGTTGGTAAAGAGATTCTTCTACGCGGAGCTTAAAGCTTCCGTAAGTTTAAAGTTTATATACACCTGAGGCCTGAGACTGTGACTGTTGGACGTAATAGCTGAAGTTAAGTGTCGTAAGACTTGGACGGCTTGCTTTGTACGTGAAGATAACGTACCAGAGGAAGACTATAAACTATTTTAAGCAGTGCACATTACATTAGCTTGCCCTGGAGTTTTTTAGCTTAAGCATTATTGCGGACCTGAAAGACTGTATTCAGAACATATAAGGGAAAGCGTTTATAAAAGAAAAGTTTCAGTTAAAATCTTATCTTGCTTGTATCAGTCTGTGTGGCTATGTACAGATATTTCTACAACTCTGGTTTATGTTTCTCGAAGTCCTTCAAAGTAAGTATACTGAGTTGTGTTCTATTGATACGCTGTGTGTATTTTATTGTGCTATTTATTGCTAATTTATTCAATGTAGGATAGTAGTAGTACTAGTAGGCTGTAATACATTAATTTCTGATAAGTATCATTAGATTTTTCATACTATGGGAAATTTTAAAACTCGCATGTAGTATTATTTCAAGAAACTTGGATACTCAATAAGCACCAGAAAAGCTTTTTGATAATTATTTGACAGGACTAAGATAATCTGTGGAAACGGATATACTTTATTGTAAACGGAAGGTTATATGATGTTTGAACAAGGAGGGGTGCCCATAAACTCATTATAAAGTTTACTAAGATAGATAAACCGATGGATGGATTACATCATTACTAACAGTGTTTCGGAGAATTTGGGCTGATTCTCCTCAGGTTACTTGTTAAAACAATAAATTTCGACGAAATGTTTTCAACAACATCTGTTAATATGGCAGATGAAGCTGGAGAGAAACCAATGCTATGGCTCTATCTTTACAAGTCCTCTTATAACGCTATTTCTACTCTGCCAAGTAATTAATGTTCAATTACAAATTTGTTTGGAGATAAATCTATGTACGTAATGAACTTTGAACGTTATCATTATCTCTCTTTGAGAGCTTTCTCGTAAATGCCAACGAAACAACTTAATTGTTTGAATAGCGAAGGTGCAGACCTTAACGTCCAGTTTTAATTTTCTTTAACATGCTCTCAAGCCTTTATTTCGTACTTGTATCGGTTTGTGCTCCAGGCCAGGGGTAGCAATAACCCCGAACCGGCCCAGACAACCTCTGTTTTCCGTGACTGGGGCGGCAGTCATCATCGTGAGTTGCCTCTCCTCTCCGTATCCTTTAGCGGGACCTCGGCGAGACAAGGCCTGTCAAGAATAGTTAATTACCGGATTTCGTGAAGTGCATTACGGCAGGTTAAAGTGTTATCTTCCTTTTCTAAAATTCTTCAAAAAATTTGTACCGATACGCCAATTATTTATCTACTGACTAGGACAAGTGTCACAGAAATCTGCTTTAATAACACAATAAACTACTAGTTTCTAAAATAATAAGAACCCAATATCCACATAATTGTGGTATATAATATTAAAACCGAGTTCTTAGGGCGATATTAACAGAGGAAGAGAACTTAAATGTGAAACATTATAAGTACAGCAGTAGAAAACATTTCAAAAATTATAAGGTATTACAATTTCACTCTCCAAGTCGACATCTCGCGCTTCAAAGTTGCTTTAGCGTACAGTAGACAGGTAAGCCTATTTTCCACACTTCCTAACGCACAAGTGAATGTACTAAATGCTTTCAGGATTTTTCTAGACACTTTTTCATTCTAATTATGTAAATAGGAAAATTATAAATAAAACAAAAACCATTGTTCAAGACTAGCGAGCTTCCGATATTATCCGTATATAAAGAGTCGTCTCACGAGCTTCCGATATTATCCATGTATAAAGAGTTGTCTCACGAGCTTCCGATATTATCCGTATATAAAGAGTCGTCTCACGAGCTTCCGATATTATCCGTGTATAAAGAGTCGTCTCACGAGCTTCCGATATTATCCGTATATAAAGAGTCGTCTCACGACCTTCCGATATTATCTGTATAAAGAGTCGTCTCACGAGCTTCCGATATTATCCGTATATAAAGAGTCGTCTCACGAGCTTCCGATATTATCCGTATAAAGAGTCGTCTCACGACCTTCCGATATTATCTGTATAAGAGTCGTCCATTTGATTGCAGATGTTTTTTTTTGTTTGGTTTATTCACACTTATTTAAACCGAACATAATTGTTATTTCTTCTCTATCTATCTATCTATCTATATATATATATATATATATATATATCTTTATCAGATCATTCCAGAAAGTATAGGTATAAAACAAAACATGGCTAGAAATGAAACATTTATAGTATGCACGTGTATTCTCTATTAGTTGTGATTAACTTGGTCGATACCCTATATTAACCTCTACTCCGGTAACTCTGTGTAAAGTTTATTACTTAAGACTAAATAAACACACACACCCATACATAAGGAAAGAACGAATGAACAAATGAAGTGTACTTCACAGTGTTAATAAAGTGTGTATACAGTGTTTGTTTTTAGTGCTTTGCGAGACAAGGCCATAACTAGGGTAACTTTGTAAGTCGAAAATTTAAAAAGTTCGTATTTTTCTATATGAAAAAAATGGGTAAACAGAATCGAGAGAACAGTATGTTGTATTACGCGGCAAGAAATGTATAGTGTTTTCAACAAACAGCACTCGAGAACAAAGAAAACAAATACTTACAGCTCTTTTGGTCAATTTACACATACAACACAGTAGATTATTTATCACACCAGGCACGTTTGTCTAGGATAAGTCTTTTTGTTTCGTTGAATGTTTAAAAAGAGCTTTGCAGAGACCACTGCATGTTTAATAGGAGAAAGTAGACAAGCCCAGTTAAACTTATACATGAAAAGGGTACATTTGTTGACGACAGTTTAGGTTAATTTTAATGCACTGTCACGACAGTGTTCACAAAGAATCGAATATGTAGCACAAAAGAGCAGGAATTCCCAGAATCATGCATTAACCATGTGAGTTGTAGTATATGGCGGCTGGTATGAAAAGATAAGAAGCAAGGGTTTGAATGCTTTGGGCACTGTACAAACTCCCGCGGTGTTATATCTATATCCCGATAAGACATTATATACATCCACGCATTTTACACCTTAACGTTGCAATTACGATTTAGGAAGATAACAAAAAACCGAAAGGACGAATGAAATGTTTATTTACTTAATCTCATTCAACCATTCAATGAAACAGCATGTTTGTGTATTGTGTTGTTGTTTTTTTGTTTGATATTGTTTTTAATATTAACTAGTAGTTATTGTTTCAGCACAAAGCTACACAATCTGTCCACCGCGTGGAATCGAGCCCCGGATTTTAGCGTTGTAATTTCTAAAACTTACAGAGAAACATACTACGTAGATGATGAGAAAACCTTGTCGAAACGTTGTACATTTGCTGTTGTGTTAAACTTATATTAAAGTTTTTCTTCATTACCCATTCAAGCCGTCTCCAACCATTATTAGTCTCAAAGTGGGTTCCTCGTCATCGAATACTACGTAGATACATAAATGGATACTTTTAAGTTTGTGTACTCTTTTGTAACCAGGTTCTTGGTTACATCTGAATAATTGCACGTTAAGAACGAAAGAGTAATTTACAAAAACTAAGGTAAACCGTTATAACAAGCGAGTATATTAATAACTCTTTTTGTATGTGCATATATTTTCTAAACAGCTGAGTAAAAAATATATAACTCATTTGTAAGATTACATATTTTCATCATCTCTAAATACAAACTCTAGTTTGAACGTTATTTGTTACAAATTGCAATGTTAGTATAATAGTTTAAATAAATTTGGCAATAGTTTATTCTTTCAGAGGTACTCCGCATATACAAAACAGGATCTTACACTTTCATGGAGAATTCTGACAGTATATTTACGTATGTTGTACATAAATTGTTACGAGGGTGTTTTACTGTGACATACATTTATTTGCTTTTATGTGTGTGTGTGTAGGTACACATTTACTGAATGTAGATATAAAGGTGGCGACTGTTTATTCATATCTATATATATGTAAAATATAAAGTGTGTACATGTAGAAACTTTATATAGTATACTTTTTTGATTGATAAATGTTAATGGATTATTTCTTAAAAGAAACAGTTTTAGTGGATATGTTACAGCATGTGTATCGTGTTTTTTATGTGTAAGTGTGTGTGCGAACAAATTATTTTTGTGTATAGTAAAACTGAAGATACATGATATCAGCGGCAAACTGAAAATACATGATATTAGTGGCAAACTGAAAATACATGACATTAGCGGCAAACTGCAGGTACATGAGATTAGTGGCAAACTGCTGATACGTGATATTAGCTTGTTTGTTTGTTTGAAGTTAAGCACAAAACTACACAATGAGCTATCTGTGCTCTGTATTAGAGGCAAACTGAAGATACAAAGTATTAGCGGCAGACTAAAAATACATTATATTAGTGGCAACGTTTTCAAAATTCCTTCACAGAGGGACATTGTTGGAATCTAAGATCCGTCACCAAGGCAAGGAGGCCCTTGGGCAAAGAGGCCAACCAGAGCGCTGAATGTAACAATTAGTTACACCCTAAAACGCGTCGTCTATGGTTTTGCGTCCGCTCAGTTTTCTTTGTGAGGCTTCTAGACTGTTGGTGAAACATTTTGTTACAAAATTTACAACATGCCGAGGAATAATATTTTGAGCTCATTTTGTAACGTTTGCATGTCGAAGCTAGAAATTCGTTGAGAGGGCGAACGACATTTCGAATTATAAAATAATACATTTGTAGCTTTGTTTGCAATCAGGATCTGAACAGTTGAAGATAATCTTGTTTGTTGTTGTCTTTTATCTATAATCTTTGCAAGGCAAAATCATTTAATAGTAAGTTATCAGTAATATTTGACAAATTCAGGATCCGTTTCTTAATCTGTGAATGTAACCTTTTAACTTGATGAAAAACTGTTTCACGTCTGTCTAAGTAAACCCGATTTTTGCTTGGTAATTCAGAAATTGGATAATAACGAATAAAATATAATGCTATAAAGTTAAATGTTCATATAGACATTAATGTTTTATAAAACTAAAATATGGACAAATAGGTGTAAAATAGTAATAGAAATAGGTATATGGGTGTAAAATAGTAAGGGCATGTTAATTTTTACTTTAAAAAATGCTTTTTTTATCAGGTTTATAAACCTTACATATCACACATGACCTCCGAGCTCTGGAACTGTCGGCTGTGATCAGTAAATATTCTTTACTTCGTTTCTTAATATTAGCGTATTAAAAAAATCACCCATTTAACGCGCGTTAGAACACACATTGAAAGCATGGCATGGTTTGATGGTTAGGACGCTCGACCAACAATCTACGGG